ATTTATGTAAAAAATTTTTGAAAAATGAATATACATTTTTATTACAGTTACAATCTTATAATATTTATTAAAGCATCAATTTTGTAATGTAAAAGATAAAAAAACAAAAAAAATACAATTCTTTCACAAGAAATAAACAGCAGATATCACAGATATCATTCATCAAGATAAAATGCTGATTGAAATACAATGGTTAAATTACTCATTAAGTATGTAAGCTATTCTTTCTGATAAAGCACTTGAGAGATATAAGAGATAAAAAAAAGATGAAGATTATAACTCTCAAGATACAATCTTCAAACATACATCTTTTCCTCTCTTCAAGATAGACAACTATCAATTAATAGAAGTAATGAAATGTATCAGACTTACAATAAGAATACAAAGCAAATGTTTTATAATAAGAACAAAGAAATATTGCACAATGTAGAACACGTCGTTATGCTCTCTCATTCGAAAACAAAACATCCTAACAAAGTATCTGCTGCCGTTTGTTTCACCTTTATTTTTCCAAGAGTCTCTATTTTTCACAAAAACGAAATTTCCTCGTTCGTTCCAAATCATACCGTTGCCGACAATTCGTCCTAAGAACCAAAACGACTGGCATTATCGCACATTCCCCCTCCCCCCCTCCCCCCCGCGTGCCTATCGCTCCGCATACAAACAACACAAAACAACTGTCACATCGCTGATACCGATTCATCTATGCGTGGAAGACACGTCACGCGCGTGTGCTCCAAGATCGCGGCGAGAGACCTCGCGATTCTCAGGATCATCGGACGGATGACGACGTAGGGGCGATTACGCAGGTGTTTTTATATCGAGAGCGACGTGTATCCTCGTCGTCGTCGCGAGATCGGGAATCGATGGGACGGGCCGGGTCTCTTTCTACGCACCTTTGGTGTTTGCTCGTCGGGCCGGCTGTCGTCGCGCATTCGGCTACGCGCATATTGCAAGTCTCGCGGCGACGTGGTTCTCACGCTCGGCGAGCTGGTCAGCTAAGCGGCACTTTATTTACATCCTCATAAATGATGCGGCTCGAAGCGCTGATCGACACGTCGCTGGACACCATGATCTTCCGATCCTGCACGATTCTGCGTGGTCGGCGGCCGCGATGTGGCCTCCGACGCGAGGCACCTCCTGCCGGCGAATGGATTAAAACCTGATGACCCGAGAACGGTCGATAATGTCGAATTAATTGCGGAGAAATATATGCGAGTTTTTATTTTTGTTTTGGATCGTTTTTATTTATCGCCCAATTGTCTAATGTAAATTAACTTTGATCTTAGTTTAATTTACATTTTAGCCTTTTTTTTACAGAATTAGAAGATAACTAATTAAATCGAGATTAAAATTAATTGATAAAAATGCACATTCGACAAGACAGACCATGTATAATTAATTATTTTATAATTAATTATTCTTTATAATATATTTTACACAAATTAAGTATTTTTAGTTGCTCTATCAATATACTAATACTTGGAAGATTGATTTTTCTTGTAATTGCTGGAAACTATCGCTAGATAAGCGCACTAGTTTTTTTATGTAGCATTTATTGGAGAAAATTATTTTCATATTATTAATATTATAAAGCAAAAATACAAGATGAGAAAAAAATAAAAGATAGTAAGAATTAGATATTCTTTGCAATAAATATATGCTGTTTATTATACTTGCTCTGTATCATTTTAATGCATTAATCATATTTCCATGCAATTAGACAACTCGGTAAATATAAAATAACACAATAATATTAGATTAATATTATAATTTCCTACTCAGCAATGTAACTGTTACACACATACATATGTTATTTTTTATATTACGATTAGTTTGATTTACTGGGAACTATTAACTTTTAACTATTAACTTTATTTTAATTATAGGTATTTAATCATCGATAATTAATTTCATTTAATTAGTAAAGGGACGGTAATACGACACGAAATCTGTATTTCCTTGAATTAGAATCGATTTAAAAACCCACCATTCTTCACTGACGTGACGGAAGATCACAATCGCAAATTACGAACTCAAATCGATTTGAGATTTGCGATAGCCCAGTTTATCACACGCGAAAAGTTCGTATTCTGTGATTTAACCCCGCGCCTCGGTCGCGTTCACAATCGCGAATTATCTTTTGGAATGGATTTCATCTGAATTTCAGATCAAATCGTAGTATTAAAAAAATTCCGCGCGTGATGGGATACGCGATAGGATACGATAATGGTCGCCGTCGATTGTGATATTACATGAAATCCTTCTATCGCGTCAATCCTTCTCGAATCCAGATGAAATTCGTCCCAAAAGATAGCTCACAGCCGCATGATAAGAGGTCAACGATAATCGCGATTAGCATTTCGCGAACAACTTCACTCAACTTAGACGGCAAATAAAATCGTAATATAAAATCTGGAAATGAACGTAAAATCGGGGAATGAATGTGAGGTTGGGATAAAGAATGCGAGAAAATTGCGAGAAATATTCGATTTAATAAATCTATATATTTTCCATTCGGAGAAGCTGATTCGCGACGTCGTGATCTCGCGCGGCATCGAAGTGAAGTTGCCGCGTCACTTTTGAACAATTTCGGTTTCAGGTTTCAGTCAGTTACGGAACGCGAAACACGAAACGGTTTCGAATCGAACGGCGTCTAATCGGTGAGTACGATTGATTCCATTACTTGGAACCATTCGGAACATTTCGCGGTCAATAATTTTTCTATTTGGCGTTTGTGAATCGGCAATTTGCATTGAAACTTCGCGATTTGCAAATCCGATCTATCGCAAACAATCGGCGAAACGGTGATCGTAGATACGTTTGGTTAATCTCGTTTCTCATTCCGACTCATGCACTTGCTTGTTCGTGAATGTCGTGACGTGACGCGGAATAATGATCGCTCTGAAAAACATCGAGTGCACACTGCTCATTCTTCAAAATGCGGAAATTGTTCGGAAGTACAGGTTGGAGCAACAGGTATGTTACGATCGTCGCCGCGGCGAGTATAGCGCGAAGTTGGCCGCACGATCTTCGACGCTTCCTCGAGGATTCGATCGTGCTTTAATTTGTTGCTGCGAGGACACGGACGTCGTAAAGTAGTTTCGTAGTTTTACGCCACAAGCTCGTACCTTCTTCGCGTCTTGATGTAATTAACAGCGCGTTGCGTGTCGAGGATATCGTCACAAAAGTGCCGCGTGCGATCGTAATAACGTTCTCGTAATTTTCACCAAATGTCACGAAATGGCAGAAAGAACGCACGTAAAGAAATGTCATGTGAGAGTCACGAAAAGGCAATCAGGATGGAACGCGAGAGGAGGAGACCAAATAAGCATCGGGCGGCAATGTAACAATCATGTGGAGTAAGTCAATCGTTTATCAATCAATTATTTATTATTTGTAATGTGTGCATATAGAAGAACTGAGATTTCTGTTTAAACACTCAAGATTTAATAAGATTACTTTATTATAATATTTATATAAGATAATATATGTATATAAATAATACTTTTACAGTATATTATGATTTAAGAATTTATTATTATTATTATTATTATTTATATAATTTGTGTGCTTTAGAGGTAGATAATTATAGTGATGTAGAAACTTTTATTTGTATAAAATTTTTTAAAGTTTGTATTTAAATGCTGAAAAATATTGCTTCGAAAATTATTTAATTTATTAAATAATCTTTTATAAGTAAATAAAAATTAGACGCGTTAATTATTTTTGAAGTATTAATTACTCTGGATATTTTCTGTTTTAATAACTGAATATTTACATTTTATAAATTGATGTTATGTATTACAGCTTCGCCACTGCGCCTCATATCGATGAGCATTTAATTATCTTTTTATTGTTTTACTGTTAATCAAAGAGCTAATCTGAAACATTTTTCGCATACACATTAATTATTTGGACAATCGTTATTACTTCTTTTTTATTCTGTCCACAATTGTAATAAAGCACTCAAAACATAATATTTTAATTATTATATCTCATTCATTCTAATTACTTTTGATAATACTATGGTTTTATACATGGAACAAAAAAATATTACAGAATCGAATTTCTTATATTTATATGTTCTATTATTATTAATATAAGTAATTTATCTGTATTACATGTAATGTTTTTCGATTGTGCAATATCACAGTCGTTATTTTATACATTGCTTTGAAATAATTTTGTAATCTTTTACGTTTATTCTTTATGAAGCGCTAATAATAATATGTTATAGTAATAATAATAATTTAATTCATATAATATTATGTGTGTGATCGTACAATTAATCGAGAATTATAATACGATATCCTGATGAAAATCTAAGCCATCTATATAAAACTAAATCATATGTAAAACTAAACCATGGTTTATATATATCTTACTATAAAGAATTTTTATTATTTGCCATCATTTACTGCTACTAATACTATGTTAAAAGTGTATAAGTAGAATTTTATCTTTCGATTGAATAATAAGTTTTGTTAGTTTTGTTACTGTAATTATTGTTCAAAAAGAAAGAAGTTCCTTATATAATTTTTCTTTTGTGTCAGATTTTCATCTCATGAATCGTTAAAACGTCTCATTCGATATTCTATTAATTCAGCCAGATTATATTGTCTTTCGTGGAGTTACGTCATTATCGCAGTTCGAAGTATTGATTTTAACGATTTAGAATGCAATAATGATTCAGACGAAAAAAAGATGAACAAAAAAAGAATTTATTATTTAAATACTGGAGAAATAACCCGCTAGTGTCTCAATTTACAACGGATATCGGGTTGCGAGCGCAGCTGCCGCGTTTTATGCTTTTTTTCTCGCTGCGATACTTACACGGCGTAACCGCATGTAACGAACGGATTCGACGACCGGACGAGTCCGGGTATGCCAGCAGCCGAGCTTTCGTGGAATTTAAAGGTAGTCCCTCGTTTGAGCGGGGATAATTAAATGTCTATCGGAAATTCGTCGGTACGGCCAACGGTCTAACCGTCGAGAGGTGATTGAACTACTCGGCTTGTTTTCTCTCTCTCTTTCTCTCCCCCTCTCTCACCCCCTCTCGTTCTCTCTTTCTCTCTCTTTCGCTCTCTTCCTCTCGCGCTTGTTCGCCATCCAGAGTCACAGGTGTCTGGAAACGGCAGCTTCATTCTATCATCGCATGGCCAAAGTACTTCTCCGGGCTGTTCCGAGGCTTATCATCGTGTACTTAATTAATCACGCGGCGTCACTGATACCCGCCGCTAAGTCCCGCCCGCGGCTTCGTCCCGCTTTTTGTAAACTCGCGAAATGCAAATCTGTTCCTGACTTGTATTTGTCATCGGGCGGCGCGCACTTGGCGGTGCCTTTTGATCGACTTCTATACTACTCCGGGCAAGGAGTGGATTTTTATAATTAGATCCCGCGATTAATATCCGTATTTTTCTCCGGCATAAGCATATATTTTACTTATACGAATGAGAATATTATATTAAACGAACACGTATATTTTTACGTTTGTATCAAATACAATAATTTTTTAAATCAATTTAAAGTAATCCGGAAAATAGTAATTTGTCTTTGAGAATGACAAAATTCGGTAAAAAATACTTGTCTTCTGGATGCATTCTATGATTCTAAATATTATTAAAATGAATTTATTAAATTTCTTTTTATAATCGCACATGAGATAGTAATTCTGAGACATTAATTTTTTAAGAACATCATAACTTATTTTCCATAGAATTGAATTATTTATTATGTATAATATCATTATTATCTCCATCGGTGGATCATTTATATTATTAGGCGGGCATGTACTCAAGATTTTTCTACGTCGATAAGATTGAATGGTGGCAAATAGTCGACAAGGAAAAATCGTGACAGTCCAAGGGATGATAAGAACCTTTCAATTTTTCCAGGGATCTAAGATCAGCGGCCTTAACATCGAAAGATTCGCGGAAAGTTCTATATGTCTTTAGTGCTAGTAAGCCACATTCTAAAAGTAGAGGATGACATAGTCAGGATATGCATTCTTGGTCAGATTTTCTTTATTCGTACACAGAATGTATCAAGTGTCGCACATTTTTCCATCCTAATACAAATTCCACGAATTTTAGATGTTAATAATTTTCTTTTTTAACGTTTGATAACATTCAGGTCTTTTTCATTTTAAAACAAAAGCTTAAATCAAATAAAACTAAAATTCAATTGAAATTCAATCT